AATACATTTGTCCCTACATATCTATGGTTAGTTATGTTGACAGCATGACTCCATTGGCAGTAATACCATTTTGTCAGGCTACCACTTTCATAAAGTATATTTACGGTCCCCAGAAGAGCAGAGAGTGACAATTAGCTCACGTTAACATGTTAACTGCCTAAACCTATGTGGCGTCGATTAGCATGCTAGTGTTAGTTAGTTGGTTGAAAACATGGATAGACCCTCCCTCCTGTCCTACTCTTTTATAGGAACAAAATAACCACATTGAAAGAGATGTGGTAGCTTTGCATCTTTGCAGTTGTTTTGTGTCCTTCTGTGGTATAGTTTGTCTCAGGACTTGTTTTGTTCCTGAACTTTTCTGCGTCCCTTTGTGGCAGTCTCATTTTATTATGTAAAAGTGTAAATGGCAGCCGCTGCTTCTACACCACGTACCTAATATCATTTTTATCAACCTATAACACTTTTCCCATTAACCTTCTTTTGGTTTGGACACGGGACTAAGCATCGTAATCTCACAACAATGTGATTCATGCATTAGGGCCCTTGAGAAGCTTTGATAACATAAAGTAACAATTTCTTTATTTCTCAGCTCTGCTGTACATAACATAAACAAGCACACAGTCTCACACACAAACACACTCACCCACACACAGGTTTTAAGAAAATCTACATAACAAAACATGGCTGTTTATACAGTATGTCATGTGGGCTGAGCACTGATGTACAGTGCCATGGGGAAAAAAAAAGAGAATCATTCGCCATCTTCCTCCTCCTCCTCCTCCTCCTCTTCGTCGCTGATGACATATTTCTTGGCCTTCTTGGTCGACATTTCTTCCTCATCTTCTGCCTTTCTTTTGCCTGATCCTTCACCCTCCTGTGCAAAAAACAAAAAGATGGTGATGGGAGTCTGACAGCAGGAGGCATTCTGTACAACTTTGTACTACTTTCATTTTGTTATGTTTCACTTGCAGTTTTTCCCACAAACAGTCACTGTAGTAAATGCATGTTCTTTACAAAGATTAATAGTTCATGTCCTCTTCAGTTCACAGGAGGGTAAATGCAAAATCTTGGCTTTTTAACCTTCACCGTGCGCTGCCTCACACTGCCCCCTGTCTGTCCAGCAGGATAATGCACCTACCTCATCACTGTCTAGCTTCTTGGCCTTCATCAGTCTCTGGGCTTTATCATCATCAGAGCCTTCATCACTATCTGATGAGTAGATCCTCGCTCGCTCCTCTGGTGTAGGGTCAGAAAAAGGACAATGTTCATTAGTCTTCAGTCATTTCAGGAAAATCTAACTAGTAAGAATGAATAAAAAAAAAAAAGAGAGAGTGTGTAGTGAATGCATTTGTCCTAACCTCTCAGGCCTCCTCCTCCCTTGTATTTGCTCTTGATGGCTGCCAGACTGATTGCCTCTTCGCCCTCCTCCTCATCATCGTAGCGGTCGGGCTCCAGGTAGCTGCTGCTCAGGCCTCTCTGGTGCTGTTTCTCCCTCATCCTCCTCTGCTGGGACTCCCTGCGAATAGAAGCTCGTAGCCGCTCCTCCTCTTTCTGCCAGAAAAGCCACCGGTGGGGATTACTTTAAGCACTGGCTTCAAGTTTGACCTTTTGTTTTGTAGCTAGTAAAACACTTGATTTTTTTCAAATATCCCATTATATATGGAATTTGGCCACTGTAACAATACAATTTCCCATCTGAATTCATAGTAGTACTCAATATTAAGTGCACAGATCTCCTGTTTTTCCACACAACTATGTTAATTTTGACACTTTATTATTCCATGAAATATTTGGTATCAGAGAGTAGTGATAGCTTAATAATGTTTCTTTCTCTCTTCCCTCCTCAAGGATTCCACGGTCCTGCTTTGGTGACAGATGTGTCACCTTTAAAACTGGAACTCTGATCTGAACAAGAAAATCACAAACAATGCTGCTATCCCCTATACTGGCCTGTTTGTTCAACAGCCCACATAGACGAAAGGGGAGCCCTCATCCCCCAAAACCAGCAAATGATGGAGGTAGGTATAACTGTTAAGAATTCTCATATTCCATAGTGAAACTCACAATTACCAAAACATTACAACATTACACTCATGCAGTAAGTAACTGTGCCCAGCACAACCTCACTGGGCCCTGTTTCAAGTGAGGGCTGAGCACTGTAAACGATAAACAATGCTATCAGCAGCGCTTCTCTGGGTTCACAGCAGATACACAACCACACACCCCAGACCTGCTCATACTATTGCCATGGCACTGACCACTGTGTGACCTCATTATGCAAAACACATCATATTATGCCTTTATGTGACTGTGCAATAACCTTGTCAGCAACTAATTCATGCCATCTTTTTTTGGTCCCGGTGGTAACAAAAGCATTGTCAGAGAAAGCTGAGGAAAGACAAAGAGAACAGCACAGATGAACAAAGTGCGAGAATGTCTTACCTTGATCATTTCGTTGCGATGCGACTCAGGATCTCGTCCAGCCATCGGAAGGATTCTAATCTTCTGTGTCTTGGAGCAGCGATCGGCCAGAGACAGAGTCATCTTCCTGTGGGTAGCGCTGTCTGTGGAGTGCGGCCTAAGAATACAGAAGAGACACACCACCAATGTCAGAATTAAGGAGCCTGTGCTAGTTAATAAGTGGACACTGTAAAATACTATGAGAGCTGTAGTTTCTCAGAGGTTGCGTTTTCCAAATTCAGCAGCACAACAGAAAACGCTGTCATGTGTGTAAAGATGAATTTTACAGATACCAAAGAACCAATTTAATTAGCACTTACATACTGTAACAGTAGAGATCATTTGCAATACTTTACTTAAAAAAAAGGTTATGATTCAACCTGTAACAAATTCATGATCCCACCCTGAGACAAGTTTATGGAAGCATAAAAATGTTGCAGTGAATGAAAGCATGTTTTCTGCTTTCACATCAATGTGCCTCTGTTTTAAAATCTCTTCTCTGTTTGGAAAATGGAGCCTCTTTCTTTAATCAGCAGTAGCAGAAAAACTAAGCCTAAACTCTATAACCACGTTGCTTAAATGCTTTTGTTCCGTGAGTTAGTGAAGTTGCCTAAAGCTCCTTTAAAAAAAAAAACCCAATGTATCCTAACCAATGCACGCTGAGCAGATTCAGCCCCAATCCTAATCAAAACTCTGCTCTGATGATAATATTCAGTCAGATCATACGATACTGCTGTGTCTGTGAGGTGAACGGATGTTGTGCAGCTTTGGCCAGTGTCCTTCCAGTCTCATGTCGACAGAACATCCAGGTGGACTTTGGCGTGCTAAGAAGCTTTTGCAGTTCTTACTAGGAGAAACCTGGGCAGCTTGTACAAGATGATCCAGAGGCTTACAGCACAGAGCACATTTCGGAGTAAAGACTGCTATTGTTGTTTGGAGTTGAAGGCAGCCTGATTTTTATTAAGTGCATGTGCAGCTGTCAGAGTGATGGACAGAGCAGGAGTGTCCTTAGGAACTCAGTTATTGCCTTAGGTTAAAGTGTGCGTCGGTCTGTCTGTAAGACTCTGGCTCTGTCACCAGTACAACAGTGGCATGTAACTATATTACCTGAATGTGAGTTTCGTTTTGAACACAGCTTGTCCCTGAAGTCCAGTGCCCTGTCGGATGAACAGGTGGTTGTGGTCTCCCTGGAGAGGAGCTTTGTAAACGTCGAACACTTCGTTCCCTAGATGGAGGGACATGCTGCGGCAAAAGGAGGTACATTTAAAAGTACGGAAAGTACAGAGCGCTTCCTGTACAGAGCACTTCCACAGTGTAACAACCCCAACCATCCAGCTTGACATAATACACACCTGCCATCTGACCATTTGACAATGCGTGCATTGCTCTCTCTTGTTTCATTTCCCTCCTCATCTCTCTTGACCCTCCACCGAATTGTATTCTCCACCTGTGGGAGAAAAGAATAAACACTGATCTGTCTGAAAACCCACAGTCATCCCATGACAACTCCAAACGTAGTCAGACAAACTGATATACCTTTAGTTTGAGCCTGGTCCGTCCCTCTTCATCCAGCATTTCTTCATCCTCAAATTCATCCTCATAGTACTGAGGATCAAAGGGTCTATGAAGGCAGGTTCAATGAAAATCAAAGTAAGTGTACATTACACAGAGCCTTTTATGGGCATCAAGACCCAACACATTTAGATAAACCCTACAAAAGCTCTTACAGTTCCCTTCCTCACTAGCAGCAAGATAAAATGGTTTTAGGCCATAATGTCTACTGAATGCGACTTCAAGCTTTTTGATCTTTTCCCTGCATTTAAAGGAACTTAATATGCGAGTGTAATGTATTTGTTGACAGTGCCAAGGCTCTGACCTGGGCTCCACAGACAGGAAGTTAGGCAGTTTGACAAAATAAAGGTCAGAACCCAGGTCTGTGCTGACTTTTGGAATCTCTACTTCAATACGAGTTTCTGGCGCAGGCTCCTCTTCTGCCTGCTCTCCCTCCATCCCATCCTCTGTATCCTGTGACACACACAAACATAAAAAAACCCACTTTGGAATTAAATGGCCCATGATAATAGGGATCAGCTCAGATAGGCTTAGTGAGAGGCTCTGAGAAAAAGAGATTGGCCCATGATAATAGGGATCAGCTCAGATAGGCTTAGTGAGAGGCTCTGAGAAAAAGAGATTTGGGAACTCATGAAAAGGACTCTCCACAAGTGAAGTGGAGGAAAGAGACAAAGCCAGAAGCATACCAAGGGCTGTCCTGGGGTCAGAGGCTTCTCTGCATCGCTGTCTGAAGAGATGTCGTCAGCCTCTCCAAACAGGTCATCCGCTGCAGTCTTCTTTGCTGCGGAACAGATGGACTGCTATGATTTGAACTGTAGATACTGGGTTTGCAGTGAAAACATTTCTTGGCTCAAACGGTTGCTTACTTTTCTTGGTTCCGATATCACTGTCTGAATCTGAATCAGAGGCGTCTTTTGTTTTGTTTTTTTGTCTGCTGAAATCATCTTCACTATCACTACCCTTAGCAGACTCTGAAAAACAAAATCACAACAGGTGAGAGAACTGTATAATTTCTACATCACAATATGTATTATCTCAAGCCAGATTTAGACTTATGCATCACTGCACATATGGAAACGTGCATCTGTCATTCAGAGACAATTGCATAGTTGTTGTATTTATACTTGTATGAACATTAACGTTCTAACTGGGGGCACTTACACATCAAAGTACAGAAAAGAAGAAGAAGTCAGGAAACGGAAATGGTAGAGATTTTGAGCCAGGCTCAAAGCTGTTGTAATTTTTTATCCTAGCACTGGTATTATGCCACATTATTAAGCACTGATATTTTTCAGGTGAGCAAGTAACCATTTAGATTGAGAATAGGTGGTCAGTCTAGCCAAGTAATGCCAATTTGTACCGACGTTTTCAGAGATGCGAGTAACCACTAGCAGACCAGTAGCACGCAGCTACTACTCAGTCAGAATGGACTAGGATCAACCAATTAGAGTGCAGGATGCGCAGATCTGCACAAGACACAGTTGAAATTTGGGAGGTGTGCGCATTGGACTGTCTGCAACAATCAGCAACCTACTTTTACCCATAAACCCGTTCGCTGCGTAGGTGCACGCCAACGCCTACAGGTAGTTGCAGGGAAGTCAAAATTAAGCATCAGGTTCTGCACATATAAACACAGTAAAGAAAAAAAGAATCATTACAACATACAAAAGGTCTAAAAGGAAAAAAAATCTCATAAAAATCTTCTGAGATTAACCTCAGAGCTCAGAATAAAATTTTCACATACAGTGGGTAC